AAACATCCTCAATCATCCTCATGTAATATATAGCTCAGTGGGAGCCTCGATCTCTAACAATGACGTCAAGTCATTTTGGCCACGCAATTTGTAACTTCTTCCAATCTTCCATTCCTTCCGCCATATTTGCAAATATTCATGAGGATCATTGGCCTCTTTATTCCCGGAATATAGTCTTCCCAACGCAAGAATACTTAAAAATTAAATCAAGAAAGGTATGGATTACTTTAATTGCTATTTGTTTCACAAGAAGAAAGGGTACAATCTCATTATCTCCAACCTGCCAACCCTATTAAGAGTGGCAGAATCGTGAGTTGTATATTTTTTATACAAACTCCGAAACTCGTGAGATTTTATCAAAAACCAGAAATTGGTCAGAGCACAACACCGGAATGGCTGGGCCAAAAGTTTGATTCTTGCAGAGGGCTTATACTTTTGCCGCTGCTGCTGGTTACAGTCTAAGTAAATGTATATTAAAATTCACACCAAAATTTCTATCTACAAAAGTAAAACCTTCAATATTTATAACAACCAGGCAATTAATATTAGAATGATATGTGAGTGACATCCCTATGCACTACTGGAAAATGTCTGGCAGCCAGGAAATTTTAACAAAAAATCTTTGCAGGCCGGAAATGTCAAATGTTCTAAACCTTTCGTGAAATATTTGTAATACTGGAATGGTACATAATTTACTTACTGCTTAAAAATAATTTCCAAAAGCATTTTGCAAGTTGAGATTGTCTTGTGCTGAGTTTGAAGTTTATCACAATATGTGGCACCATACATTCTCCGAAATCTACCTATATCCGGGAAGTTTTCTATTCGACTTACACAGGAAATTTCTATTGTTGAGTTTTACTGCCAGGAAGAGAAACACATTTTCTAGGCCTGTCCCTATGATTTACCAGAATTGGATATTATAAGAATGTCATTGTCCCAGGAGTTACAGGAAAATATTATCTAAGCATCTAGGGTTCAATTCAGAGTGATGCACATTAACAGCACTTGGAGGATTAATGTGAGGGCCATAGACAGATTTTCTGGGGGGGGGGGGTGCACCCCCAAATATTTTGCCTAGAGAAATTTGCACCCCTTCCCAAAGAAAATTTAAATGCTAATTGGATTAAATAAGAGTAGATATTGAAATGAGAATTTTTAAGTTTCAATAATTTTTAGTCTTTTGAACTAAATAAGACCAAAAATCTGGATGTTTTTCCTGGGGCTTTGCCCCTTTACAGTACCACCATTAGCAATTGTGCAATTGATGACACTATGCAGCCTTTCACTCACCTGCCTTCTTAAAATTTGAAAATACGTCAATGGTGAGGGCACTGAGAGGATCCCTACATGTAGCTTGAAATATCTACTTTGGACATGTTAATCCTGTGTAAAATGAATATACAGTAAGGCCAAAAAAAAAAATATGTGGGTTTCCGGTTTCCCGACCCTACCTAGCTTTTGGACGTCGAAATCCCGACCCTAAACTTTTTTATTGGATCATGCCACTGAGCTGTATAATAACTGGAGGACCTGCTCCTATACTTCGTTCAGTCAACAAAGTATCCGCAAAAACATGGCGGATTTTGAGTGAAAATGACGCCATTTCCATGACAACACTTACTTTATTTTCATGGTAGGTACCACTGACCAGGCTCAATTCTGAGCCCACTGCCGTTTTCACCCCCCCCCCTGGTTTTTGCAAAACATTTTTGCAGATAAATATAGTTCTCGACTTCTCGTTGTTTTGAATCCTTTTTTAAAATGTTTTCGAGATAAACTTTCTGCCTTTGACCATTTGGTCAAAGATATCCAAGTCGTACGTGTTTAATCTCGCCCGTGAAAGACGACAAACTAATTTTAAAAACTCAAGAAATGTGGGAAAAGACGATACTTGAAATATATGGATTTACACTCGGATTTACAAAGGTAAAAACGTATTTTCATATTCAATTTTATTTAGACTTTTATATCTTATTTGACATCTACTATCAGACTTATCTTTTAAAAGAGGGAATTAGGTTTTGTGTTATGCACCACTTAATTTTATGTATAAGCTGGGGGTGCTGGAAGCTGTCAGCTGATCTGGGAAGGTGGTTTCTACCTAGCTTTCTTGCATGGTTGGGGATACTTCTTGATTTTTGTGTCATATAAATAGTAATATAGAGGCTTGAGATAAATCACTTTTCCCTAAGCTGAGGTAATAAGGTTTCGCTGAGGTGTGTGCCAAGGCATTACATGTGTCAGTGTGATCACACCTCATTCCCAGGATGGCCTGTTTTCTTACAAGTTTTCTCAGTAAATATCACTCTGAATCAACTATTTACTTTATAAGTACACTTATGGTTCTGATACTGGTTTAAGCTGAGGAGTATGTTAGATCACATCCTTATGTTTACCTTGATCATATGCTATAATTATGTTACTGGTGGATTCTTGTACAACCTGTATAATTAATCTATTCTTTTTTATTGCAGATTTATTCCACAATGACACACTCCTTTGTGGGTGGAAAAATACAGTACCAAGCCACATCTTTGGAAACTGAACATACTGTATTTTACATGCTTCCAGAAATTATGTCACCTTGGCTATAGGCTATAGAGTAATTTTCATGATTGAGACATGCATTGGACTAAAACTCATGCCACATACATGAAAACAAGGCTCCATAGCCAAAGTGACATACATTCTGGAAGGGTGTATTTGACTTTTTGTAAAATTATTAGCAGTAAACAATTTAAAAAACAAAAATGTATAATTTTAATTGCTATAAAACTTATTTACACTTCAATAAAATTATGATAATCATATAATTGTGCATGGTATTGTAATTATAACTTCATTTTGTAATTGTTCTGCATGTTCTTCTGCATGTTGATGCCTGTGCCATCTCTTTTGTATATTAAACAGATCATTTCTGCAAAAAAAAGACGACATTATCATGATACATTATACATCTTTACACCACAAAATATGATATACACATATGTTAACCCTTCAAGTGGCAATGTGTTTTGATGTGCCTCACTGTATTATTTTTGCCTTACTGTATTATGTCAGACAATTTTACTAGTCTATTGATCCAAGCTTATAAATTAAGTGTTGTGTTTTCATATTCAGCAATGCAATTACATTCCCAACTAACTGCTAAAATATGTCAAACTATTATTAGCAAATTTTGTCATAATTTCTCACAGAGCAATTGGACATCACCACTTCCAAACTATGACATCATATACTATGTAAACTATATAGTTTTATATAGTTCTGAACAGACAATGGTAAAATGTTATCTATTTTTTAAGACTCTTCCCTTGGTGATTAAAACATCTGGATTTAGTCTCACCGATAGAGTAAAATAAAACAGGGACCATGGAGCCTGTTTAAAAGGGGGGGGGGGCAGGATAGCATGGGAGCTAATCCACACAGGCAGGTGCTGTCCAGACTTTATCCGGTAATTTTTATTATCCACCAAAAAAGTGTGGGGGGGGGAGCATGCCCCCCCTGTTCTGCAGTCCCAGTAAGAAAGTAGCTAGGGTTCATTTGGGCACATAATTTTGCAGCTTAATGGGCTGACCGATATATCTCAGGGGCTGCTCATTGGCAGATAGTGTATTAAATTAACCCACTGCGAGGCAGCAGTGAGCATGAACAGTCTCCTCTTAAAATCATCTGGCATTAGACAGACAGAGTACAACAATAAAGACAGCTAGTCTTTTATATAGGGCTCATCAGAACAGCTAGTGCACATTGTCAAATGTAGGTGGGCCTCCTCTACTCAAGTCTCTCTGGTCTTGTGCTATCTATATATATTAATTCTGCATTATGATGGGCAAGTATATAAATTTCACACCATATTAAACCTTTATGAACATGTAAACAACCACAATTTATACAAGTAATTAAAAACTGGCAGTCTCTGTCTGGCAATAAAACCACAAAGGCCAGTGCTGACACTGAAAACAACATATTAATTTCATGTAGTACACAATATTTAATCATTAACAATATTGTGAATATATTGCTGTATATATTAATAGGAGGATGAGTTTTTGACATAATATATGAAGGGTCTAGTGACCGACTCAGAGTCTCAGACTAGCTAGTCGTCTAGAAAGTTTAATATAAAAAAGTTTCGTGAATCTTACCTGAAAGAATTAGTCTTTCTTTTTAGTTTCTTTGTAGTAAAGTGCTGCATCCACAAGCGAAGCAAACTGGCGTTGTAAAACAAGTAATGTGCGAGGGAAATATTAAGATTTTTGCTCAAAAACAACAGAAAACTTAAAATATCTTTATATTTACTATTATTTTAAATATATCT